CACACCACCATAGTCTTCACTCCTTGACCAACTAAATCACCATCTGAAGGTTACGTATCCATCAAAAAATCTATATGAAGCTTACGCTTATCTCTCCTACACAGAGCGAGGGGACAGATCCAATCCAGAGTACATATCACCCGCTTACTTACTTGTGGTGTAAGCTTCAATCTGTAAGACTAGTATGAAGGTATTAGAACTTCGGGCAAATTCATATGAGCTCAATTTGGTTCATAGCATCCCAAATCAGTCAGTAGCTTCTAGAAATGAATAGGAATTAAGGTTGGTCGTCCCGATTGCCATTACAATCAGCTGGACAGAACAACTTCACCTACCTCTCTCTCTCTCTCATGCTGTCCATGTAAATTCATATTGTTAAATAAAATCTGAAGACATAATCTCTATCTTTTAATAATTTGCATAAAAAAATAAAAATGATGTGTTTATTTGATGGACAGTAGTGTTTATAGAAAAAAACCTCATTTATTTATATTGAGAAAAAAAAAAAACTACTGTGAACATGGCCACATCGACCCCCAATGAATGGAGAATGTATATACCAGCATTTGAAATAAACTCGAGACATTTTATATGTCGACCACGGTTACAGCAGATTTTTTTTTTTTTTTTCTCATTTTGTATTTAGAGGATCAAGAGCGACAATGGCAGTGCACCTATATGAAGGCAATATTCATGGTTTGGACAAACGAAACTTTGAAAAGGAGAGATAAGGGGTCAAATCAATTGCAATATAATTGATAAAATCGCGAAAGGTCATGAAGAACCCAACTTTGATTCGTGATCGTGGGTGTGTAAATTCCCTTTGCTTTTGTTTCTTGTGTTTGGTTAGCCGACCATAGATATCTTGGGTTGCTCTATATTCACGTCTTCTTCACAAACTATACCGAAAATGTTGTGGGAATTGAGATTCCACACTACATCTTTCTGCTTCCTGAGGTTCAAATTTAGGACTAGCCATGAAACTATCAGAATTTATCACAGTTTCAGTATCTTTAATTTGCTTTGCCCTCAAGACTTGAACAATACTCGTTAGCTCTGAGGCCTCAATTTGTCTATAAAATTTATGTCGATTTAGAGAGAGAGAGAGAAAGACTGTGCAAACAAGGGTTGCCATCTGAAGTTCTGACTGAACTACCACTGCTACATGTACCGTTTCTGCTTAACACACACTACAACCACCCTAATTGAATTTTGTTAAATATGTATATATATTATCATTAAAAAAAATGACATTATATTGTTTTGACATATATCGGTGGTGTCTAGAGCTCGATAAATTTGACATATAAATATAACTAATGTTGGAGATAGCGTACAGTGTGCTGCTTGGGTTAGGATTAGGGGTAGGTGCAAGTGAAATCAATGTCTAATCTTGATTGTATTTGTATTATATGGCTTTAAAATGACGTTACTTTAATTTTTGCTTATACCTAGCGTTATTGGGCTGGTTACAAAATGTCAAAGAACTCCCTCTCTCTAAATTCTGGTTAGGTCCATATTTCACGTATAGACCTGTTGAATAGGTTGGGTTCGGATTGARTTAATACACTTTGGATTGATTTTGGGTTGGGTTATTAAACGTTAGACCCTAGCTCACGGTAATTGGGGAAATGAAGAAAATTACCATCCTTAAACACGATCCTGTCTTGTTATAGAGATTTGGGCCTTGGCCCTAGGTATATATCACAACAAGAAAATCTAAATTCTATTGCTTATTTTGTTTCTATTTCTTTTATATATTTAGTGGCAATGCACCGAGAGCCTGTTAACTGGTTCCAATGCAATTACATAGCCGATGACCCAATAGCTGATGTAGCCACTTGGGGTCCCTCCAAATATAGAGGCATGGAATATTGGAATCAAACCTATATAACTTCAAGCACTTGAGGGTATTTTGTAATATCAAAAACAGAGAAAGGGAAAAACAAAATGGAAAAGTACAAACAAAAAGTACATTGCCACCCCTACTTGACTTACTTGACTTGAGGAGGTCAAATTTTTTTTTTTTTCTAACATTTGTTGAACCATATCACCTCTTCAACTTTCTTGGAAATCTGGTGGCACAGTCGTTTATATTTTCACCAACTTGGGAGTTGGGACTAACATCCTTAAGCTAACCACACCTTGAAAATCTGTTCTAGAGAGAGGACTAAATTTTCAAACTCAATTCTTTATTCCTTCCTCGTGGTCCCTTGTTAGCAGACCCTGATCGTTATTATAATATATTTAAAAATACAGGGTGGTTAATGGTTATCATCTATTTACAAATACCTAGCTTTCAAATAACAGAGAAATTTAATTTGGAACAAACAGCTGGAAAACTTAATCCTAACTTATGGAAATTAGTTTCAAATTAGACAAACTAACTGTGGTTAGTATAAATCATTCGATTACAAAAGCTGAACTGAACAATCTGAACCTAAGTACATATGATTTAAATCCTATTAACAAGCTATTTGCAGTCTAAATCTTTGTCAAACGTTAACAATTAATTTAATTAAGATTAATTTCTAGGTTATGTTGGTAGCAAGAAACATTGAATTAATAATGGACAGTCTTTTTTTTTATTGTCTTATACAATAAAAAGATATCTATAGACATAAGTTCCAATAATCGTAACTGCAGAGAGTTTTCCTGCTCGATAAAGGATAATTATGCTGGTGGAGTTGTGGAGGTACCTTTCAAACCATGATGGTGAAGACTAAAGAGTAGTAAAGAGGTGTGAGCCTTACGTCCCAACTGCTACTACATGATGTTGAATCCAGTCCAATATGAGGATCTTTTACTATAGAAAGGAAGATTAGGATCTTTTTATATATTTAAACTAAATCAATTTGTGATCTAACCCAATTCATTTCCCTTGTGTCTGCAACTGTGCATATTTTTATTTATTTATAATTTATGGGTCTTTCATTAACTTGTGGTAGATGCAATCCCTTCTTGTCTGAAACAAATACCACAACTTTAGCTTAAAAGCGACTACCCCATTGATAGAAAGTTGGTTTCCTTCAAGAAAAAGTTTGGTAATGCATGCAGAGAAGATTAAATCCAGAGTCCAAGGCATGGAAGTACATATAGAAAGAGTGGGCATTGCCTTGTTTGACTGACCACAAAGCAAAACAAAGAAAACAAGTACAGGAAATGGAAACAGGATCAAGATGTATGAGAAGGATGCAGTACTAAAATGCTTTGATATATACAAGGGGGTCTGTACGAGAAAGAAGAGTTTCCAGTTCTACTTTCAATAGCTTTGTTTTTTGTACTATGGAAGCACTACGACCAGCCCCCATCAACTCGCCACGATTAAATCGCTGCCTCAACTACCTTTCTTTCTCAACCGGTAACCCTAGACAGTAGCTGCAGCTAATTGTTTCTAGAAGCCCTCTTGCGTGACTAAAAGCTTCCATGACAAGTTGCATTAAGTTTAGTGCGCCCTGTCTCTGATCCGAGTCCATCGATTTTGGGCCGCCTCAACTCTCTACTGAACCATTCCCAAATGAAGTTGTTGTTATGTTGCTCCTGCTCCTTGTTTCTATTTGGAACATGTATCTTTCTGGCCCAAGTCATATATGTTAGGGCCTAGCAATCTGCTCCAAAGCCCAAACTAGAGTCCTGACCCAGGTTTAAATTCCCTCTGATAAATGGTTAAAYCGGGCCCATTATTCAGTCTTACCCAAATTCATTTCTGATAGACCTGTCATTGTTTAATATAATGAAGATTAGAATGGGGGCATTCACATTGGTAGCACGCACCAACCACTCCGTGGACAAATTCAAGGAATTCTATATTACTACCTCCCTCCTCAAGGGAACCAGGAGGCGGAGTGGGAATCATCTCATTCACGAATTAATACTAACAATCTCTATTAGGTATCCAGATTCCAGAATAGAATCAATGTATTACTTACTAACTTCTTTTCTAATTAATACTTAAGCATCAGTTTTAATACTTAATTGTTAACTGATCAATATTGCTCCTTGTTTCTAGAGCAACTTTCCTGTTTAATATTCTTTCCTTCTTTCTTTCTCTTTTCAATCCTTTTCCCTCGTGAATAAAACATTGAATATCACTATGTAAACCCTAAACAGTTTTTTTTTTTTTGACATATAGCTAGATGGGAAATGCTAGCTAACACAAGCATCCGATGCTGAAGCAATATTGAAGTACGAAAGGATTGAATATGAACAAGGATAGTCTGTAATGTCAATATATCAGGGTTTAAGGGTCTTAATTCTGTTTAACCGGTTTTGATTATAAGTATATACCAGAATCCTCCATGGCAAAGCATATTTAACCTTTCTCTCCTTTCTATGTTTTCTTTTTTAGTATAAAGTATATTTATTTGCATCTATCACCTTTCTTAAGAAAAATAATCAATAACATACTGAATTATCTAGAGAAAAAATTTATTTCACGTATGAAGCTAGACTACGTGCTCTTGGTTTGTGTTCCTTTCTTCTTCTTCTTATTTTTTTTTTTTTACGCTGGGGGATCTAATTACTTGTCACGTGTCCAATATTTGCAGCATTAGGGCCAACAGTGGTTAAATGAACACAAAATATGTGCCTTACACATAAATTTGGAGAATAGAGAGAAAGAGAGACTTCATGAGACATGGCATAATTTACCATTAAACTTAACCGGTGGTAAGTGGTAACCATCCTATTCTACCTGGCGTCAAAAAAAAAAAAATAAAAAAAAAATAAACCATCCTATTCTACCATTTAATTTGCTTGGCCCATTTCACCATTTGTAAGAGGATGGGCCGGACATTTCGGGAAAAAAACAGAACAAGTGGGCCGAGTTTTAGAAGAGGAAATCTCCGAGGTGGAGCTTCTATGATCGGTTTGGTTACCTGCCCAATGAGAGTAACGGGCTAATACAGGTTTCCCTCGCTAACCTACCTATTGACCCACTCACCCACCACGATATTTAAATAGTAGAGATTCCAGAGACTGTGAGGGCACACATAGACATATAGACGGACACCTTGCCTCATCCATCCATCCTCCTCTACCATTTCTCCATAAGATCCCGTCCCACCTCACCACCGTAACCCCAAATCGGAACAAACCAGCGTCGCCTGCTGAATTCCAGACTACGTGGCAAAATCTCGACTGCTAAAGGTTCAAAATCTCTGTATCCGTATCCGTCTTCGTGGTTGGCGTTCCCAAACATGAGGGAATCATGGATGATGGATCCCGAGGAATGAACTCAAGGCTGCATGTAGTTGAAAATAAAAATTTTAAAAGAAAATTCTGTGTGTTGAATGCAGGAGTTCTTCAACAAATCCCAACTACTCAAACCACGACTGGACAGCGGCAACGTTGAAATCATGTATGGGAGATCGGTTGAGAGGTGTTTGTTTTAAGCACCCCCTCCTTCTTCACGAGTTAGTCGAAGCGTGTGAACCAAGGAGCCACCTGTCTCCTCTGCAACTTTGAGACTTCAGAGAGGAGACAGAAGAGTTGAGTCTTTTGTCATGTTTGTGTGAGCGAGCGAGCAAAACAGAGGAGACAGACTAAAAATGAGAACGCCGCCGATGTCTACAGCTTGCAGCTCAAGAAGATCAAATTATTACACCCGTGGATTCGACATCCCGGACGGTCATCCAGACTTCGGCGTCGGGGGAGCAATGCTGCCCATCTTCCTCAACGACCTCTCACGACACAATAGCGAACAAGACCTGGTTGAAGTCACACTAGAGTTCGACGAAGACGATTCCATCGTCGTCCGCAGCGTCACCCCAACTACCATACCAGAACCTATTCCCGAACCAATCCTCGAACGGAACCTTTCCATAACGACTAGGATCCGCCGGAAGTTCCCATGGCTAAGATCCCCCTCCGCACGAACGTCCGCGGAGCTCGAAGAACTCGCGGCGACGGCGATGTCAGCTCGGGATGCCAGGAAAATTACGGCGAAACTCGAACGAACGAGATCGAGGGCCCAGCAGGCGCTTAACGGTCTGAGGTTCATTAGTAAGAAGACAGGAAACCTGGACGCGAACGAGTTATGGCGGAAGGTAGAGTGCCGGTTCGAGTCTCTAGCCAAGGACGGTTTACTCTCCAGAGAAGATTTCGGTGAATGCATAGGTAGGTGGTAATGATTAATGAATGAACAAACGGCAAGAGCAAGACCAACTTCGTGCAGATTTCGGACCAGAGCTTCTACAGCCGTCTAATTGGTATATCCGTTTTGGTTGTGATGATCAGGAATGGTTGACTCGAAGGAATTCGCCCTACGGATATTTGACGCGCTGGCGAGACGGAGGCGTCAGAGGATAGAGAAGATAACCAAAGAAGAATTCTACGACTTCTGGCTGCAGATTTCGGACCAGAGCTTCGACGCTCGCCTTCAGATTTTCTTCGATATGTACGTGCTTTTAGATTTAGTGATCACTGCTTACTTCCAATTCTTTCCCTTCATCGCGTGCGAGTAAGCAGCGATGATCATAGTCAACTTTAATTCGTGCTTACTGCAGTAAAAAAAAAGATTATGTATTTAATTATTCGAATTAACTGCATGGGTTTTGGATTGGTTAATGATGCAGGGCTGATAGCAACGAAGACGGAAGAATTACAAGAGAGGAAGTGCAAGAAGTAAGATTTAGTGATTAACAATATACTATTAATTAAAATTTTGATTATTTTATATATCCAGTCCATGATTTCAATTAATCGTAATATTTATATATATTATATATTTTTTAAATGATGAATCACAGCTGATAATGCTGAGTGCATCTGCAAACAAGCTGTCCAAGTTGAAGGAACGAGCGGATGAATACGCGTCCTTGATCATGGAAGAGCTGGACCCGGAAAACCTCGGCTACATTGAGGTTATCATTTTGTAAAATTCTTTTTTTTTTGGGGGGGGGGGGTTACAGGTTTATTACAGTTTAGAAGAAATAGGAATAGATTTTGCGTTTTTGTTAAACTCGGACGTTTGTTTGGTTTGGATTCAGCTATGGCAACTGGAAGGCCTGCTTCTACAAAGAGACAAGTACATGAACTACAGCAGACCGCTTAGCGTAACGAGTGTAGGCTGGAGCCAGAATCTAGGAGGGGGAGGAGGAGCGTTCAAGACCAGGAACGTGGCGCGTAAGATAAGCAGCAAGGTCCGGTATGCCATCTTAGAGAACTGGCAGAGGGCGTGGATCGTAACCCTGTGGGTAGTCACCATGGCGGGACTCTTCGTCTGGAAGTTCAACCAGTACAGAAACAAGGCTGCCTTCCAAATAATGGGCTATTGCTTGACCACCGCCAAGGGAGCAGCCGAGACCCTAAAGCTGAACATGGCTCTCATCTTGTTACCCGTTTGTCGTAACACCCTCACCAGACTTCGCTCTACCAGAGCCAGGCTGTTTATTCCTTTCGACGACAACATCAATTTCCACAAGGTATATAATTAGGTAAATTAAACCGTGAGATCTAGAGAGAGAGAGAGAGAGAGAGAGAGAGCTTGAGCTTCATCTTCACGTGAAGTCGGCCCGGCAAACGGCAAACTATGCTAATGTTATGTTTACATCAAAACACACATACTCATTACATGTCTCAACGGCTTCCTTTCGTCTGTGGTACGTTTGGGATTTGCAGATGATAGCTGTGGCAATAGCAATTGGAATCCTGCTCCACGCAGGGAACCATCTGACGTGCGACTTCCCAAGACTCATAAACTCAGTTCCCGAACGGTTCGCGCTCATATCGTCGGATTTCAATGGAAAGCAGCCCACGTACCCGGACCTACTCAAGGGCGTGGAAGGTCTGACTGGGATAGGAATGGTGGTACTCATGGCCATCGCCTTCACCTTGGCAACTCACCGCTTCAGGAAGAATGTGGTCAAGCTCCCTTCGCCCTTGAACCGCTTGACGGGCTTCAACGCCTTCTGGTACTCCCATCACCTTCTGGCCCTCGTCTACGTTTTGCTCCTCTTCCACGGCTACTTCCTCTTCTTGGTCCACAAGTGGCACAAGAAAACGGTACAAACCAAGCTCACACCCTGCACCTATATTATTCATCGACTTTTTTTTTTTTTTTTTAAATTTGGGCTTATTTTCCTTTTTCTCAATGCATGGAATGACTGTGGTTAATATTTTGGCCTGGAAATTATTAGAATTATTTACTTGATTCTGTAATTTTCTAGACATGGATGTATATCTCTATTCCACTTCTACTCTACATGGGAGAGCGAAGCCTGAGAACATCCAGATCGACACATTACTCAGTTAAGATCTTAAAGGTATTCGATTAACCTTTGTCTCTCCTCTTTATTTATTTATATTGATGGGGAGGCGGGGGTTGTAGCTATACGACACGGCTTTAATAGATAATAGTCCATTAATTTTCATTTTGGCGTGGTAGGTAGAACTTAGAAGGCCGACCCAATATAGTTGTGACAAGGCTAATGCTTAGATGATGATAAGGTGTAGAACTTAAGAAGTGGGTGCACCGAAAAACAAAAAACAATTAATGGGTTGATAATTTTTTGTTTGTATGTGTATGGTTAAATCGTTGATTACGATCCAGCTATTATTTGGTGTATGTGTGTCCTCTAACAGGCCTCAGTACTACCAGGAAGTGTGTTGAGCATAGTGATGGCCAAGCCGCAAGGGTTTAAATACAAAAGTGGGCAGTACATATTCCTACAGTGTCCCAACATTTCTCCGTTTGAATGGTGAGACTGGGTGGTGGTCTGCCTCCTGCTTCTTGTCCTTTTAATTTATCTTCATCCTTTATTTTTTTTTTCTCGATGATGAATTTTTAATTTTTCTTCATCAATACGTATCTATACTAGTCTGTATACTGTATTGTTTCCAATTTTTATTTATATAAGATGTGTAAACTTGCAGGCACCCTTTCTCTATCACATCAGCACCTAGAGATGATTACCTCAGCGTTCACATCCGGACAGTAGGAGATTGGACGGAAGAGCTTAAACGATTACTGACTGAGACATGCGATTCTCCCACAGTGATTGGTAGAGCCAAGTTCAATGAGCATGGAAGAATAGATCAGAAGGGGTAAGAACTAAGAAGAAGAATACATCACTCATTCACTTGGATTGGCCAGGCCCATGCATGAACACGTAGAGGTGCAATGTATTAGCTAGGAGTAGAACTGTATTTGATTCCAACTCATCGAAAATATTTATCTCGAGACTCAAATTAATCCTCCGGCTAATGTATTTTATGTATGCAGGTTACCGAAATTGCTGGTGGACGGCCCATACGGGGCTCCAGCACAAGACCACCGAAACTACGACGTGTTACTGCTGGTGGGACTAGGAATCGGAGCCACCCCATTTATAAGCATCCTCAGAGACTTACTCAACAACATAAGAGCCGCTGAAGAACAAAATGTAAATTAAGTGAGCAGCAATTATATTGCTTTGTCTTGTTGGTGTCCATGCATTGTATATCGATGAATTTGTGTTGTTATATAGGAAATGAATACAGAGATGAGCAGATCGGAAGATAGCAGCCTGAATAGCATTACGTCTACAACGACGACGGGGACAAATATGTCAACATCAACAACGGGAACGAGTGGGAAGAAGAAAGGACAGAGAACTAGTAATGCCCATTTCTATTGGGTTACAAGGGAACCTGGGTCCTTGGAATGGTTCAAAGGAGTCATGAACGAAGTTGCAGAAATGGATCACAAAGTAGGTTCTCCCTTGTACTAGCTAGCTAGCTTATATACATAGTAAATGAATTGAATAACACAGTAGTATTAATATTAATTAGGCAAATTGATTGTGAAAAATTACGGTGGACAGGGAGTGATAGAGATGCACAACTATCTGACGAGTGTGTATGAGGAGGGAGATGCGAGGTCGACACTTCTCACCATGATCCAAGCTCTCAACCATGCCAAACATGGCGTTGACATCCTATCCGGCACCAGGGTACGTATTTACGTATATATGTATGTATGAACAGTTACACTATTATACCATAAGTGTCAAGTTAATTTCTGTATGTGTACTAGCTAATTAATTAGTTATTTCTTGGGGGGGTCTCCCTCTCATATATCACTCTCAGGTTAGAACTCATTTTGCAAGGCCAAACTGGAGGGAGGTGTTTGCCAAGATAGCTGCAAAGCATCCCAATTGCAGAGTAGGTAAGTGTAGACTCACAAATTAAGTACAACATTTTAGTGTGCCCCCACCAATATCCAATTAATGGTGAACATCGACGACCCATCAATCGAATTTGCTTGAATTATTAATTATATATGTTTGTAATTGTTTGCAGGTGTGTTTTACTGTGGGAAGCCGGTTCTAGCAAAGGAGCTAAGGAAACTATCACGGGAGCTAACCCAGAGAACATCCACACGTTTCGAGTTCCACAAGGAGTACTTCTAACCTGAGAGAGATTCCCTCCCAAGTACACTTGGGATGTCAACTACTCACGTTAATTAATTATATATTATTACATAATTTTTTTTTCTTTTTTATTTAGGTTTGTTGTAATATTTATAGAAAACAATAGAGGAAGAAAAACATAGAGGCATCATAATCATCATCATTACTCATTAGTAGTTGATCGATCAAATTGTAAAATGTAATTAATTAGCACCACACACCACACCATATATGTATACCATCAAGTTCAACACAACATGCATGATAGATGCATCCCAAAATGTCCAACGTCCTCATCCACTTTTGAGATAGAGTGTCAAGGTCCCTAACTACTTTGACAACAAATGAAAGGTTGTATCGTTAACCAAAGTGAAGATTATTGTATTCTATTTGTTACAGCAGCTGACCCCCTCATAAATATACAACATGCGCTGCATTTCTTTCATTTTAATATATATTTTGGGGAAAATTTTCGAGTTTCAACTTTCAACAAGTTTGTTGAGAAAAAGGAAAATGTCTAGAGACATGTAGTGGCTAGTTAGATGAGACATTATATATATATATATATATACATACATGGAGAAGAGAAGTTAACAACCCAAGAATCTTTACACCATGCACAAGGAGCTGAATATGGTTGGTAGGTGAGCCACGAGATGACAACTAACACACCGTCGAAGAGAGGTGTTGCTTCATTGTGAATTGTGAAACCAACGACAACACCAATAGAGAAGCCAATGCCACGGAGCCATAGCCTAGAGTACACGTCAACATCCTCCAAAGTCCAATCCCACCAATATGCTACGAGTCTACAACCCAATATGAGGAGTTGCCACACTCAATCACTATCTCTAGTGGGCTCCCCTATTAAATCTCTCTCTATCTCTCTCTCGATTTCTGATAAACCTACCTCAGTTCCTTTCATTTCACCCTAACCCTTAAACCTCCCTTTTCAGAAGCATCAGACGTTTGTTTCAACGGATAAGTCCAAAAAACCTTCTATGTTCATGTGCTGTCCATCAAATATTCTAATACATCCACTTTAAACAACCTCGTACTCTTCTGTGTGCATACTGCATACTATTCACCTTCGTCAAACCCTCAATATAGCACGATATAATGGTGGGAATAACTCGCTGAATGAAGTGGAATTAATAACTCATTGCATACTGCATACTCTTTTATGAACTAGGGTCTCTCTCTTGGTGGGAGGCTTCTTTCTATACTGGAGGGTTTCTCTCTACGTGAGGGTCTCTCTCTCGACGGGAGGGTTTTTCTCTCTATAGGAGGATTTTTCTCTTACATTTATGGATGCAAGTTTTTTCATTTATTTCTCTTCGTACAAGTGTTTGTTGGAGAGGTTTTTTGGATAGATTTGAGAGACAACGGTTTTGATCCAGGCCTATGGAACAGACTTGGGATCTTTCATTCTATTCATTTTAATATTCATTTTCCCTCTACTCTTTTTCTTATTTCTATAGGGCCTTGGTTGAATTTGTGTGTGGTGTGCCTTTGGGGTCTACCATGGGTATCCATTTGTTTTGTAATGATGTTATCATTCCTGGCAAGCCTTTTTCTAACGATCTTCAAGTTCTCTCCAGTGACGTTCAAGCTCCAAATGTTTCGGCTTCTATAACAACATGGATGGGTGGTTTTTTTTTTTTTTGCACATTTTACATCCCTACAATTACATGTTACAACTTCTTTCGTGCACTTTCGGCTTTCTGTGGGCCCATTCCTTGAATGTTTGGATGGTGGAGCATTAGGGAGAGTTTTGTAACAGGAGGCGACCTTGGGCCTCTCCCGCTTTCACGTTTTCAATTATGCCATGGATTGGGTGCCGTGGTACTTGTTTTCTCTATACTCCTTAAGGGTTTTCTGTAGTTGACCCAGACTCATTTGGTAGGGAGACACACTTGTTGGCTTCATCTCTGTTGGAGGCATTTAGCCGACCTTTTTGGCGTTACTTAAATTTGCATTAGTTGCAGAGATTTCTCAAGTCGTTTTTTCTCCCGGTGCTCGTCGTTACCTGTTTTTGTCTCAACACGCTTAACATGCTTTTTCGGTCGTATTTTTCATTGCTGTTAATTTTTCTACTTTGTAACCTGTGCATTTATGAATGAACTTGCCTTTAGGCGTAAAAAAAAATAATGGTTTCCTAAAGCAACTTTCTCCTTTTTAATCTTAATTTTATTATGTTTCTTGTATTTTGTTACCTTACAACTTAAAAAATTAAGGGCTTTTCAACACTTGGATGTGACAAAATTATCCCTTTAAATATTAGTTTTTATGSCTAAAATGGTCATTTTCTTAGTTACAAGAAAAATAGAAGAACATGGGTAAATGTACTTACCCACATAAGCATTTCCCACAAAACACTTATCAGGTAAGTACCTTTACCAAGATAAGTAGGGATGCTCACGGTAACCGAACTGTTAGGGGCAGGAGCCAGGGGGACTCAGGGAAGCCATGCCCCCCCTCCCCCCCTATGGTTCAAAAATCCCTACTTGTGATTGCAAATTTCTCCTCTCCCTCACTCCCCACCCCAATAGTTGGCCCCCTATGGCTGGCTCCCCTCATGAAAAATTTCTAACTCTGCCCTTGTTAACCGTGGGCCTATTTTTGAAATGAACGGATATTACTAGTTTATGGAAAACTAGTAACTAAAACCGAATTGAAGCCAATTAGTTAATTGGTTGACCGGTTTGATTAAACGTTARTTCGGTTCATCAGTTTTTCAGTTTTTTATATTTATAATATATATTATAAAAAAATTTATAAATATATACTAAAAACTAGAAATATATATAATATTATATTTTCAAATAATAAATAAAATATTATATTTTATAAATATATATATATATATATATATATTTATATATAATGCATATTTATTATTTTATAATATATAGAAAATATAAAAAATATATACATAAAATATATAGAAATATATGTATACCGGTCGGTTTGGTTAACCGCCCGTTTTCTATATTGGTTAATCAAAATCAAATCGATACCTTTGGTTTTTTTAAAAATATCGAATTGGTTCAATTAACCAGAATTTTCGGTTCGCTTTGATTTTTCAGTTCTTTTTTTTGCTCACCCATAAAGGTAAATAACTTCTCAAAAAACAAACAGGGCCTAAAAGTAAAACAGTAAAATTCTTCAAGGCTTTTATGGTTTGTATTGCAAAAGCCATACACATGGATGAATAAAAAACTCAAAATCAAATGTTTCCCAAGAGCCAGAAATTTTCCAAATTTAATGCATGCAGGTTCCTGATGAGGAAGTGAGGTTTAGCACATTTGAAGAGTAAAAATCTCAAATCGTTAAACTCATAGAATTTGAATCATATCCTACTTCACTTCTTTCTCGTTTGGAAAACAATCAATTGCACAAAACTGCAGTCAAATAGTTTCTCTGGCTTGATAATRTTGTGATATATCAGTAGAAAATTGACGACAATTCAAGCTGCAGCATTGATGGACATTTCAGAAATTCATGGTGGGTTGTTTGACTCTCTTGTCAGTTTTCACGAGGAATTATTGTAGTGCAAAAATCCTTCTAAATGARATCTGTTGGCAATTTTGTATATGTATATTCCTCTATTTCTATGACCAACACTTAATTTATTTTTTCCAATAATTCTTTGAAACTTGGCTTGATTGATTTATGTAATTTTGATTAACCAATTTGAAATTTGAATCATATAAATGAAGGGGATGAGTGCATAAGGGCCACCAGTTAAGCAGCAGGAGATGTGGAAAACTCTAGTATCACCATTATTGCCACAAACAAAATCCCTCTTGTTACATAGGCATATTTATTGAATATATGACATGATTTACTAAATTTTATTTTAATTTACTGCTTCTTATGTCTTAGTCTCCATATTGTTGTGTTTGAAAACCCAGGAAACTAACAACTTCCGAGGGCTATTCATGTGTGACATGATGCAATTAAACGAGATCTAACAATTACAGCTTGTTCCCTATCATAATCATTATTAAAATTCATCCCCATATGACTGTAGTTATCATAATCATCTAGGTTGCGTTTGGTTGCACGCAAAATAAATGAAGGGAATAAATTCCTTTGGTAGTAGGGTTGGGTGGACAATATTAAATAGAATGTTGATATAAAACAACAATATATATTAAATAGAAAAATGAATCATGTTCATAATTTTTCTGTTGTTTCAGTTGGCTCTGAAAACGAAGCTGAATAGTTGAGAGTTGGGAGGCACATCCCCATATGACATATGTGTTGCAAGATAAATATAAGGGCATCCAGCCTCTGTTTGGAAAGCGACTTATGGAAATTGGAAGCAATGTCGTCATTTTCCTACAATTACTACTTCTTTTTTTCTATAAAAAATATTGTCAAGCAATCAAATACCCTAAGATATCCAATTTTCAGGCACTCATTTTATTAATATTTTGACCCCCCAAGTATTGTTTTGACTTTTGCTTCAGGTGGTGGATAATGGTGTCAATGGACCGGTTTTGGATTGGACTTCGTTGAGTTCAAAATCAATTTGGATGGACCAATAAAACATATTGGATTGGATCAATCTGATCTAAAATRTTTATTAGACTGGATTGAACCTGGTCCGTCCGTAATAAATTTATATTGGATTTGGTTGGATTAAGCCAATACACGATTCATTGATACAAGATAAGAATATAGATGTCAATGAATCAGATTTGGATTGGAATCAATCTAAATCAAAACTAATTTGARTAGATTGGATGGTTCAAACCAGAATGATCCAAAATATTCATTAGACTGGATTGGAATAGACACACATTGGACTGAATCGGATTGGACGGTCCAATCCAATTGACACCCTAGTGGTGGCTATGGCTGCTTTTGAACCTGAACCCAAGCCAAACATAAGAGAAAAGGTTGAGCTAGAATAATACACACATATTATAATACATTGTTGTGTATCATGCATTATACACATACTGATCGAAGGCCCAAAATATCAACACGCTTGTCTTGTTACTGAAAGTTTTCATGTAAAASGAATGATATTTGCTAGCTCTTGTACTTTGTTCAGTCGTCTGATACCGTATCATACAATGCATATTTGTAAAGATGGAAGATAAGGATCCGACCCAAGTTCATTTGATGATCGGGTTGGGTTAAAGGGTCAGGATCCGATCCGAGAGGAAGCTGGGAAGGAACATTGTGGCAAAACTTTTGAACTTTGATTTGGGGTAGGCCCATCACTCCTCACTCCTCACTCCTCGCTTCCTCAGCCACGAGCCAATAACCGAGATTGACTGGTATTATTAGCGTATTTGGTTTGGGCTCTGACATCCATGTTCTCTGTGCTGACTGAGTACTGCTGATGGATTAACTTTAACCCAGGGCCAGGGGGGGAGAGGTGGGGGTACCGGTATCAATATATCCATCCTGTAGCTGTAGCCTGTAGGGTAGTACTACAGTACTGGTTCCAAGGTCCATGCGTCACTCCTACAATCATTTACATGACAAATTTGTCACTACCAAGTACCAACTCGCTATTTGCCGTGAAGGCAAATATTCTCTTCGGGACATCACAAAACTACAAAACCCCTTGGACCCGGACTCTCTCTCGTCTCCTACATTCTTTTTGTATTGTACAAATTTTGCAGCGAGGCTTGCGGCAAGTTCATCTCCCTCGGCCAAACAAGGCCGGAGACGACGACCGGACCCCGACATCTCTGATGTCCCTCCACCCAACCGAAGAAAACCTCTCCGTCAGACCTGATAATGGGCCCCAACCCCCATCAACTCCATCCTCCACGGCAACAACGACGACAACAGTTGCCGGACGAGCTGCTGTCTCCACGTGTCATCAAGCTACTTCCCACTTCCTCCCTCCCTTTCCCAATGGAATCTAGCTGCCTGCTACTGCGAGCGAGACCAAAGAAGAGAAAGTGATGCGGGGACGGTTGAAAAACAAAGAGGACAAAGAGAACACGGAAGAGAGTTTGACCCACTCGTCGTCTCAGTCAAGTCAGCCGGCCAGGCGGCTCAGCGTGCAAGACCGGATCAACTTGTTTGAGAACAACCAGACTAGAAGGAACAAGGTAAGGTCGGGGTTGTTGGGAACCCAGCTGAGCTTCGGAGGCTGTCGCCGGACGCAACGTTGTTGAAAAGGCAATGGAGTGGTGCCAGCGACCTATGCATCCATTCCAGTAATGATAAGAAGGAAACCCAGAGTGCTACTTCTGCATCAACTTCTTTGAAATCTCAGTCCCAGTCCAGTGCGTTACCCATTTTACATGAGGATAAGGACGCTGGGGGGATCGAGCGACACGGCAAGGCTGTCTTCTCCGGAGGACTTTGGAGTGAAAGATACTGCTACTACTCGGGCCTTGGTTGGAGGTTTTTCCGGCAAAGAAGAGATTGTTGGGTTAAAGGATTCTAACACCCGGTTGAAAGAAGTTTTCTTTGGAACGTCAGAGGAGGCTACTTCCCGTCCTCATTTGAAGGCCCTCTACGATAGAGCAGAGACTGCTGGGTTCATTCATACCAGGTTAAATTGAAGGCCCTCTACGAGGATTCTGATTTGAATGATCGAGCAGTTCGCCACAGAACCTGTTCTGAACCTCTTCGGTTGTAGTAGATCGTGCTGGAATAAAATATCAACTAGATTTGCAGACCCAATTCGGAGGTCCTTCACCAAGGGCAGAGGATGGTCAGAAAGACAGGGTTACATCTCATGGCAATTCTGGAGTTTGTGTCAGTGCATTGAATGGTGTTGAGTTATGTGATCAGCCGGCTTCTCAGGCATTGACCACGACCGCCTCCAGTACGACAGTAGATGTTAAGTTGAACTTAATAGATTCATCAATTCCTAAGCTTAAGTTGATGATGCAAATTCCGGAGGTTTTCCAACAAAACTGGAGGATTCTGGTTTCCAGGGTATAAAGTTGCAGAGACAGAGTTCTGCAACCAAGAAGGGCAAGAAATTGGAGGGTAAACAAGGTGGCAGAATCCCTTCCAATAGAGGTGCTGAGCTACTTGTTCTTGGAAGGAGGATCATGAGAAGTCCAGAGATGTCTGGTTTGGTAATAACCCCAGTTGAACAGAGTCAGAAATTAAGGCAGTTCAAAGGTAATCAGGAACTTAATGACGAGCTACAAATGAAGGCAAATGAGTTGGAGAAACTTTTTGCAGCACATAAGCTTCGGATTTCTGGAGATCAATCAGTCATTGCACATAGAAGTAAGGTTGCTGACATGCAAGTTGAGCAGATGCCAAGTGCCATATATGGGAAATCTGCAGAGTTAACTCCTGTATACTTACCTGAGAAAAATCCATTACCAGAACCATTTTTGAGTACAAGCAACAAGGAAGAATTCGATCAACCATCATTAACGAAAATGGTTGATAGTCATATCTATGGTAAACCTGTAAAGCACAGCATCACTGAGCTTGGTTTGTCAGAGGATACCAGAGGGAAATATTATGATAGGTATATGCAGAAAAGGGATGCTAAACTGCGGGAAGAATGGGGCTCAAAAAGGGCTCAGAAGGAGGCCAAGATGAAAGCTATGCAGGACAGTCTTGAACGTTGTAGAGCTGAGATGAAGGCCATATTTGCAGGATCTTCTGACAGACAGGTCTTAGACCTTCATGGTCATCAACGTGCGGTGCTGCTGAGATCTTTCACTGTTTGCTCAACCACAAAACACACAGAGCAGGTACTATTGATTCYGGTTAATGTTTTCTTTGATTCAATTTGTAATTGGGATTATTATTTATATATACCTTGCAGTTTCAAAACCTACTTATATGTACCCTTGTTGACTTTTCAAATCGTAAACTCTAATATTTAAAAAGTAAAGGACAAAAGTGTCCTTAACTGTTCATTACATTTTAAAAAATTAAGGACGATGAAAATGTTAAGGGCCCGAGAATAGGATCTCGTCACGGGTCGGTCCATGGGGAAAACCTCCTGTTTTCCCTTGTTCCTCCATTTTCTTGAGGAACCTATCTTGGCGCCTTAATGGTGATTTGTTCAAGAGATCACCAATTCTCCTTTGCTCTTTCTTGACTGAAATTTTCGATGCCTTTATTGAATATTATCAGCTCCTTAAATAGGAGATTACAAGAGACAAGAGTCCTACTTTTAGGAAGACTCCCTACTAATCCTACTACTGAACAGATAAGATAAGAACACTGAATAGATAAGACTCYCTACTAATCCTACTACTGAAAACAGATAAGATAAGAATGCTGAATAGATAAGATAGAACTGTATCTAGCTGGAATTAAATAAGATGAGAACTGAGAACACCCAATTACTGTTGTTGCCGGCGTCGATATTTCTTCCCAATAAACGTGTCCACATCATTACTCCCCTCCTGGACTAAGAGCTTGTCGTCAAGCTCGAAACTAGGATATGTGTCTTGGAACTCAGTCAAGGGAATCCAGGATAGGTGAAATGATTTTCCCCTCCTGGATCGGGTTCCAATGAAGAGGGTTCATCCTCATCTTCCTCTTGTTCCACCAGGAGGCAGAAGTCTCTTGCACTTGTGCCCTGCTGAGTAAAGTTCATCACAATTAAAACACTGTCCCCTTGCCCTGCGTTCCGCCATCTCAGCCCTGGACAAGTGCTTAATAGGGGGTGCAACAACGCTGCTTCCCACACTAGATGCCGGTCTGGAATTGTTGCTCGTCTGTGGGTTCTGTTCTTGGCTGGCTGCTGAAGTTGGGACCATTCTGAGTGTTTTCGGGGATGCCCATGCTGTCGGAGGCCGCCCTATACTGATAGTTCCGCGGCTAAGTTGCAGCTTGCGTTCAAAAGCGCGAGCCAAATTCATAGCAGTAACCAGGTTGGGGGGATTTTGCATCTCCACATCCACCCTCAAAGTTTCTGCTAACCCCGCGGTGAACATGTCAACCTATTGGTCTGGTCGTACCGATGATGCTCTTGCAAGGAGGGTCTGAAACTGACGCTGATATTCAGCCATCGTTCCCGTCTGTTTGAGGTTGATTAATTCGCCTAATGGGTTGTTTGTTAATGGGGGCCCAAATCTGAGTAGGCAGTAGGATTTGAATTGGGTCCAACTGAGCCCAGGTTCCTCCTGCTCTAATCTATAAAACTAGAGCTGCGCCTCCTCCGTCATGTGGAATGCGGCCAAGCTTACCTTGTCTATGTCCTCTGTCCGTTGGTTGCGGAAGAACTGCTCACATCTGTACAGCCATCCCAACGGATCTCCAGCACCGTTATAGGAAGGGAACTCCAGCCTGCTGTATTTGGGAAAAATCGCGGCTCCTTGGGCGACGACCTGCCGCTCGCCGAACGATTCTGCCGTGTCTAATCGGCGGCCGTTTGTGGTTGCAGCCCCTTCTGGATTCCTCTCCTTGCTAGAAAAATAGAGCTCCATCATGCACCTTAATTCTCGAACGTCTTCCTTGATCTCGCRCACCTCCGTGCTGTTTTCCACGAGCTTGTGCTCCAGTTCATGAGCCCTAGTAGTCAATTGCTCAAGGTCACCCATGACGCCTTGCTCTGATACCAAGTTGTTAAGGGCCCGAGAATAGGATCTCATCACGGGTCGGTCCACGGGGAAAACCTCCTGTTTTCCCTTGTTCCTCCCTTTTCTTGAGGAACCTATCTTGGCGTCCTTAATGGTGATTTGTTCAAGAGATCACCAACTCTCCTTTGCTCTTTCTTGACTGAAATTTTCGATGCCTTTATTGAATATTATCAGCTCCTTAAATAGGAGATTA